TTGGCTCTCATTTCCGAGGGATCAACCCTGTGTGGACCTGCAGGGCCTTGAGACTTCAGTGGTGCTTATGTTGTTCAGCTGCTGTGCTTGGGGAGGGTGATGCTGATGTAGTCTGACCTTGCTTTGGAAGGGAAATCCTTCATACAAAGGCTTGACCCTAGGGAATGTTGTTGTTACTCCAGCAGCATTTAGAGATGGTGAGAGGTCCTGAGCTGACAGCCCTGGAGGTTTTTCTAACATGCCTGTCCATAGCACACTCCAAAGTGCATATGGAAGCACCACTCTCTGCACCATCATGTCTCATACTGAAGCAAGCCAGTTCTCAAGTGTAACTATGCAGTTGTTGAAGCCCAGCTCTACCTTTCAGGAGAAGCCAGTGTGCCTGCTGTCCCGTGAGCCAGACTGGGAGGTCAGGAGTGATGATTTCTATAGGCAACACAACCTTACTCTGAGAGGAACGACTAGTGGGTCCTTCACCATTGTAGGAACTGTTTCCCAAAATAGAATATTTGTAGAGCATGAAGGCTCTCAGAGCAGGTATCCTCTCTCATGTCTTCCTGCAATCAGGGCTCTACATTAGCAAAGATTTTCCCTCCAGTGATGCAGTGAGTTTCCTGTTCAAGTGCTGCCCTGTATTTATAGCTTCAAAATACAGCAGTTATTGCCTGGAGGCACCAAAAGGCCCCATCTGCTGGAGGAGTCCTCCGGTGGGAGGTGAGGGCTGTAGATGTGACATCCCTTCCCCTTTACTTCTCAAGTGTTGGTGAGACTTTGCTGTGTGTGGTTCCCTCCCCAGCCCTGCAGCAGGGTTGGAGCAAGTGGAAAGGCTACAGGGGTATGAGGGCTTAGCTGTGTTGCTTTGCTAATGGAAAGGTGGATGAGAAAGGGCATTGCTGTGTGAGCACTTTGCTGTGTGTGGTTCCCTCCCCAGCCCTGCAGCAGGGTTGGAGCAAGTGGAAAGGCTACAGGGGTATGAGGGCTTAGCTGTGTTGCTTTGCTAATGGAAAGGTGGATGAGAAAGGGCATTGCTGTGTGAGCTGGGCTGGGAACACATCTATACCTGCCTGTGGCTCCTCTCCCACCGGTGAGTCTATTGAATGCAATGAGTCCAATTAGCAACTCAGGAGAATTGATGAAACACGATTCATCAGGTTCTGGCTGTGTCCCAGGGGCCAGTGAGTCACCCCACCTTTCCCTCCTCCCACCCACAGCTACTAGCACTGTGCTCACTCTGTCACAGCTGCAGCCTGCTCCTGGGCAGGCTGAGCTGAGCACTGGCTTCAGCTGGAGATGGGTGTCTGGGGAAGGTTGCCACCAGCCTGGCAGGGCTTTGGAGACCTCAGCTCCAGCTTATCCTTCAGGATGGAATGGCAGAGCTGTGACTGTAGGGAAGGCAGGAGTGTATTTTATTGCCCACTGTGGATGTGGGGATCTGCAGAGTGGAAAAGAGGTAACTGAGAAGGGTAAGCCAGGAACTGAATCCTGCAGCAACCAGCCAAGAGGGCTCTGTTGATAGCTGGGAAAGTCAGAGTAAAAGTAACTGGGCCATCTGCCCCTTGTGGGAGGTTATCAAGAGCAGAACTGTGACATGTGGCTTCAGTCACACCTCTGAGGACAGGGAGGGGAAAAGGAGGGGGTGAAGAGAACCCATCTGTCTTCCTGCTGTCTGACAAGGCAGCTCATGAACACATGGGGACAAGTGCTAGCCAAAGGAGCCCAGGAAATATGTCTCATCCAGCGTGGCAGGTTGTTGATTTGAACAGTGAGATGGAATAGTTTATTTCACGTTTTGGTGTTGGGGGTGATTTTTCTCCCACCCCCTGCCCTGGTTATTTAGCTGGATTTCCCTTAGCTTCTCAAGCAAGAGACCAGTGGGCTGTGTGTGGGAGGTAGGAGTGCAGGGAGCGTGCTGCCTTATCTGTGCTCTCTCACTGTGCTGTTCAGACAGCTCTGTCAGCACCCCAGCTGCCTTTCTCTGCAGGAGTAGTGTCCCTTTCTACTCAGTGATGTCTTTTATTCAGGCTCTGCAATCTGAGGCATTGAGACAAGGGGATCACATAATAAACACAGAGTGGAATAGATAAAGGGGTAAAGCTGAACACAAACCAGAACATCAACAGTTTAACAAAGCCAGCTCTGAAAAGTAGGGGGGAGTAGGATGTTTGAAATGGGTCATACCAAGGCACACATTGTACAGCTACTGGAAGAACTTAACACCCTAGGGATGGGGACACCTCTGAAGGTGTTTAATCAAAAGGTTTTGTTCAAAGCAGAGTCTTTGGTTCATCTTGCCCTGTGCTTTGGAGTGATTTAGGGAAGATGGCAACAAGCTGTCTGTGTTCTTTGCTAGTTTCTTTTCTGCACCTCTTCCCATGCTTCCAGCATATCCACATGTATTCATATCCTTGTCTTCCCAAGGGGCATTTGCTGCAGCTTTTATGAGTATATATGGAAAGGGAGGGGACCTCACAGCCAGCATTTAGGCTGGATTTCTTGGACTAGGAAGCCTCTTAGGAAGAACATGAGGTGATGGAAGAACATAAAGACTAGGAAGCCTCTTGGGAACAGGTAGGAAGAACATGAGGTGATGGAAGAACATAAGGGAATGGAAACCATGAGCCTTTGCAGAGTGGTGGGAAGGGGCAGGTGCCTTTGCTGGGACACCAGCTAATTGGGAAGCCTTGTCCATGGGGTTGGGACCAGTGTGGCTTTCCCCCTCATGTAAATGAGATCTAACAGGAATTCAGTCTGGAAAGATGCCTGTGTGCTGTGCCTTGACTTCTGTGTGATGAAATCTGGAAAAGGTCTACCCCACAAAGACTTCCCAGTGTGGCACCAGCTGGTGCTGTCCACCCTTCTTGGTTAGCCCACACTGCCTCTGTGGTTTTTAGCACGTGGCTTTACCACACTGGGCCAGACTGACTCATTTAAGACAGGAACAGACTGGTTCAGCCATAAACACCTTTACTGTAAGCATGAATCTATCTTCAATATACTGCTCTCTGAGAGCCCTGACAGTTCAGTTGCTTTTCACTTCCCTGGTTCTTATTGCTGGTATTAAAGGAGGAAAGAAAAACTTACTCAGACATTACCACCTCCTTTTCCCAGAGCACTGTGCTAGTCTTTACCTTTGTCCCATAAGGAAGTTAACACAATAGCTTTCCTTGTTGTGAGAGCAAGTCTGGCTTGGCACAGCACACATCTTCCTCAACCTTTGCTCCCAAGTCCTTTGGGGAGAGTACTGACCAAACAGAAAAGCAGCTCCATGAAAAACTGGCACAGGTGAAAATCTCTGGCTATTAAAATGGGACAAAGATTTTAAAGTCAAAGCTTGAAAGCTCCATGTGTGGCTGGCTTTATTGCCCAGGAAAACAGGGGTGAAAAACTGACAAGGTACTGTACAGCCATGGTGTGAATGTGCTGCTGCAGTGGGTGGAGGTTGAAAGAGCCTGGAATGAAAACACAGACCCTGCTATGAAGTTTCTTCAGTGACTCAAAAAGCAACGTGCTGCACTTGATGTTGCCGAAAGCCCTGGTGCTGCACCCCGGGCTGCTTTGATCGCCAGAGGTGAGTGACTGGCTGTGTGTTTGCTGCAGGGTGTAGGCTGGAGTACTGGCTGTACCTGCAAGTGCAGGGTGTGAGCGTCAGGTGCACCCATACCTGTGCACGTGGCTTGGGAAGCCCTGGGCAGGTGACGGTTCTTCTGTGGAGCTGTGGAAGGGTGAATTTCTGCTCTGGGTACACTGTGGGTGGCTGGCAGGGTGAAATCATAAGCGAGTTACAAATTCTTTTGTGCTGTTTGATTTTTTTAATTCTTCTTTATATTAACTTAATCTACAGTAACCAGTTCTTCCATGCTTGACAAAGTGCTGAACAATACCCAGCTCCGCCGTGAGCCCTGCACAGGCTGTGGTGTAATCCCCCCCTTTAGCTGATCTGTGCTCTCTTCTCTCTAGTTTTTGTAATGAGCAAAGTTATTTTCTAATCTGTGACTGTTAAAGCCACATATACAAATCACAGACATTTAATTTTCCCTCTTAACTTTGTAAAGCATTTGTTATTTTGAGGAAGCTGCATAAAGCAACTCTGCTTCCTCTGAGCTGCCTTCTCATGTCTTCTTCCTTCACAGATCTCTGCACATTGTGGTTTTTTATCATGTTTAAAACCCTCTGCTTGTGTTCCCTGATGGCCATGCAGACTGTGAGGCACAAGAGCAGCATGAGGAACTAGAAGTGTGAAAATGGGTTCATTGGCATGACAAGCCACAAAGCTGGTGTTAGCAGCAGTAGTTTTGAGAATTGTCTGCAGTCCCTTGAAGCAGTGCAACTGTTATCTGCCTGATTTTGCTTGAAATGTTTAGGATTAGCATCAAAATTTGCCAGTTCATGAAAATACCTTGGTTGCCAAACAACAGAGTCCACTGGAGGCAGAGAGGGCTGGACCAAAAGGGCAAGTGGCAGACCTAGGTGAGACTTCTGGCCCCAAGATCTCTGTGCTGTTTGCTTCTAGGATGTGAGTACAGCCATCAAAGTTTGTAGCTTGGATTTATTTAAAGAAAAATAAATGGCATCATGTTTTAAAGGTTCAAGTTTTGAAGGAGAAGAGCTCTATCTTAGCATAGTGCTTAGGAATCCTGGTCAGGACAAGTGGCAGGGAATTGCTGGGCAGAGTTGTGGATGGAGGGTTTACTTTTCCAGGGTGAACATTCCCCCTTGAAATCCTCTGTCCTTTCTCTCTTTTTCCATCCATCCTCCTTAGGGACCCAATGTCTTGTATGACATTCCTCCTGTGCAGGAGTGGGAAGAAGGGACAGAATACAGCACCTTGTATGCCAAGGGCAGTGTAGGAGCAGAGCCCTGCAATGAGAAAAGGAGGCACCTGGATTCCTGGAGGTGGAAGTTTGTAGTTCATACACTTCACCAAGAGTTGCCTAAAGTTGCTGATTCTCCATGGACTTTACAGATCTGAAAAGTTTTTGTTGTGGTCACTTCAGAGTGTCCTAGTGAACAGCCACAGTCACAGGCAGTGAACGTGAGGAAAATTCCTCCAGAAACTGAGTCTGCTGGGTGGATTCTGGTGCCAGTTTCAGACACGCACTAGCCTCTGTCATGCTGTTGTTGTTGGCAGAGCTGCTGGTGCAACATGGCTCTTTTGCAGGGTGAATGGCCACTAAGAACTGGCGCTTGAAGTTCTCGCTGAGGACAATGTAGAGGAAGGGGTTGAGGCAACTGTTGGCATAGCCCAAGCTAATGGCAAAATTGTAGGCATAAAAGAAGGCCATGGATGGTGTGTCAATGCCAAGGTGGACCAGCTGGAGGATGTAGAAGGGAGCCCAACAAATAAAAAAGGCAGAGCAGATAGCAACTGCCATGTGGGTGACTTTCTTGGTACGTAGGCGGAGGCTCCTCTGGGGCAATGGGACCACAGTGGTGGCCATGTGCTGGAGGATCTTAAAATAGACCACACAGATCACAATCAGTGGCACAGCAAATGCCAGCATGAACTGATAGAGTGTGAACCAGTAGATATCAGTCTCTGGGTTGGGAAGCAAGAGGGCACAACGGACTGTCCCATCCTCCAGAGGCATGAGACCTGCGTACATCCACACGGGAATGATGGTCAGGAAGGAGAGGAGCCACACCAAGCAGATTACTAGAGCTGCAACACATGGGGTCCTGACGTAGGTAGATTTTAGAGGATAGACTGTAGCCAGGTAACGGTCCAGTGTCATCACCGTAAGGATGTTGGTGCTGGTGATCTGACTGTTGGTGTCCAGGGCAGTGATTATGGTGCATAAGGGAGCTCCAAAGTACCAGGAGCCATTGCCTAGGAGCTGGTGGATGAGGAAAGGCATGCCCAAGAGGAAGAGGAGATCCACAATGGAGAGGTTGAAGATAAAAATGTCAGGCACAGTCTGTTTGCATCTCAGCTTCTTCTTCTTGACAATAGTGTAGATGACAATGAGGTTCCCCACAATGCCCAGGAAACAGATGATGCTGAAGAGACTGGGCATGATCACATTGGTGTATGGTGCTGGCTTCTCTGCTACTGCCAAAACAAACCAAAGCAATGAGTACAACCTAGAAGCATCTTCTCTACATTTCTGTGTGCTTGCCCTGTTCTGCAGCTGGATCCCCCACAAAGATACAGCTTGGAATGATGTTTTAGACCCTCTGCTGTACTTGGAGAGGCTTAGCTGGGGATTTGACAATTCCTCTGCCACCCAGTGCATGCAGTACAGGCCATATATAGATGTCTTTCCTCAGCTCTTCTGATGTACTTCTGTCCTGACTTGAACCTCCCCAGCTCTCTTTTTGGGGACTAACATCAGACTGGTGTGCTTCTGCACTTGGAGTTGATAGCAACTTTTCTTCCAGGAAATGCTGCATGTCCAGCCCTTGTGAAGGGAGTGGATGAGCCAGCTGGTGCTTTCCACACCAGGGCAGTAAAGTTCTGTGGGTGCCAAAATCTGGGTGGGCTGCCAAAAAATGGGTATTGTCAGTGCTCAAGCTGTTGTGTCAGAAAGCTTCAGCTCATCTGTTGGGTGATTTGTCTGTTGCTGTACAGTATGAGACACAGTCCATTGACCATGTAGGCAGAAAACTAGTGCTTATCTAAATGCTCAGAGCTGGGACTGTACCCTGGCCGTGTCTCACCTCTCTTGTAAGGGTTAGGCCAGAGGATGCACTCCTTCCATCTTTCCTTCTTTGTCCTTATCACTTTTTCTAATTTATTTTCTAGAAAGAAATCCAGGTGTGTGGCCAGACAGGGATTTGGCAGTATGTTTGAGTGGCCCTTCAACAGGGAATGGCTTAGTTGTACATGGATAAAAAAATGGCTTTAAGCTATTGTCTGTGTTCTTCTGGATGTAGGTGGATTGCAAAGGCAAAATTCTTGCCTAAACACGCTTAGCTCATCAGTGTTGATGCTTGACTGTTGCTGATTGGAGCAAAAGACCCAAACAATCAAATTCATATTTGCCCTGTCCCCAGCCCAGCTTTAAAATCACATTTTCAAGCCAAGTGCCAACCCACAGGGATCTCTGCTCTTGGGCACAGAGGGTGGGGGCTAAGGCACCAATTGTGGTCCTCTCTTCTGCTGGGCTGTCATGTGCAGTGTGTGATGGAGTCTTAAATCACCTTCTCAGCTGAGGCAAATCTCATTTCATCTCATTACTTCTCTCCTGTGAGACCTGATTTTTTTTTTTCTGGGGAAAGGCTTTGTGTGAGTTGTGTGTGGCTGTTAGAGACACATGACAGCCCCTAAGCCTTGGCTGCTTGTCTTTTATTGAATTGCAGATGATACAATGTGGTGTTAATTGGAAAACTTCCAGTCACTCTGCTGTTCCATCTCCCTAGCAGCCTTCACCTGTAGAAGTGGAGAGGTCTCCTCCAACAGAATGTAGGGAGAACTCTTAAAAATGAGATGAAGGGAAAGAACAGATACTCATAAGGATCTGTCTTTGCTACAGTGGTGTCTGTTTGCTGAGGTGCTATTTGCCAACTTTGACCTCTAGATTTCTTAAGTACAAACTTCTCCAGGTTTACTTTGGCATAGAGAAGCTTGACTGAACTGGCAAGATGACTGGGGCTACACCCCTAGCCTGTGGCTGGAAAGGTAGGTGTGTGACATCCCAATTGTGTAATATTTCAGTGCTCTTAGAAGAGGGGCATGATGAGCTGCCACTGCCTCAGTCCTGCTGGCACTAGGAAGCAGCCAGCTTAGGTAGAAGCCAAGATCAGAATCCAGTAGAGCTGTTGCAGCACCATTTTATCTCAAAGCCTCTACATGAATGACAAAGCAGCCACTGAGACACAGTACAACTGACAGGGGCCTGAAGGTGAAAGCCAGGCTGGGTTGGTAAGACAAAAACCCTGGTCCAGGCCATTTGTGGGGGGTTAAATGGTCCTTGTTCTTCCTGGCATCTCAATAATGAAAGGAAATGCCCCATGTGACATGGCTTTTGATAGATAACTCACTGTTATCAGCACTCTATTGAGATATGATACTTAATCTTCAGCATCCAGCCTGTGCATCCCCTCAACATCCAAACAAGTCTCACACCTCCTTAATACCTGAAGGTGGCAGACCAGAATTTGGAAGGCTGACTGTAGTTATGCTGTTCTGTGTACAGCTATTATGAGTTGTCTCTTTTAGTCCCAAACTTTATGAATGTGGTGAGAATGGTTTGTATGAGTGAAATGTAAAGGCTGCCTGGTTAGCTGTAAATTAGGACAAAAGGTCTCTTTCCTGCAGAAGAATCAATAGAGTGCTCATGGTGACCCTTTAACATTTGGAATTAACTCAGTTGGCCTTAAAGCAAAACACATGCAAGCCCAAAGGCTTAATGTTCTGAACAGGGCTGCAGCATCTTTCCTGCTGCTGGTATTTGTACAAGCAGGACTTTCAAGTGTCCTTAGCTGGAAGCTCATGTGAAGCTCTAGCCCATGTGTCTATTATGGGCTGGAGTCAAGAGTGCATGCCTATCAAATACTCAAAGTTATCTCTTTTCTAAAGCCTCTTTCATCTTGAGATAAGGTTGAATCTGAATTTCCAGTGCTGCTTCTGTGCACACCCAGGTGGCTGTACTTTATTCACTGAAACAGCTTCAGGAATTTATTTGTCCTTGATTGTAGATCTGTGGCTGCCCTGTTACTCTCTTAGAAAGGTCCCAAAGGGGGACTGTGCTATGTGAACTGAATGAAGATGGGTCTAATATTTTTTTCTCTAAGGCAATTGTTGCCCTCAGTCATGCCCAGGTACAGAAGAAACTGTCTGTATTGCATTTTGGAAAGAGGCACCTAAGGTATGTGCTCAGTTTATAAAGGACATGCTGGTGGAGAGGGAGGCAAAGACCACATGTAAAGCACCTTCTGTTGAAGAGTTTCACTAACTTGCACCATCGAGAACTGGCCTGCCTGACCCTGAACCATTGATTTTTGTAGCGTGAAGAAAGCATGAGACTGCCGGGGAGCTCTGCTTCCCTCCCCAGCGCTCTCTCATGCCCTCCTTGCCGTGTTCCCTGCCCAGCTGGGCGGCTTCATCTCCTCCCTGCAGCTAAAACCAAAGGGCTGTTACTGCCTCACAGACAAAAGCTTCAAGCCTCTGGGGCCAGCGGTGATGTTCTGGTGCTGTGCCGTATCCAGGGGCTTTGGGGGGGCTGCCCCAGCCCCCCGGGGACCCCCCCGCCCGTCCCGGAGCTGTCCCGCCGCGGGTGCTGCTCCGGCCCGGGGGTGGGGACCGGCTGCCCCTCGGCCCCCGCTGGGCAGGAGCATCGCAAGAGGCATGTGCAGGAGGACTTGGCCCTATCAAAGAAAAACAAAAAAATCAATCCATCAGTCTCGGCGCCCCCGCGCAGCCCCTGCTCACCTGAGCCGTTCCGAGCCTCGGGTGCGGAGAAGTTGCGGGAGGAGTTGGCGGGAGCCATGGCACCGAGCCCTGGTGCCAGGGATGGAGAAAGTTGATCAGGTTCCCTCGGTGGATCCGCTGAGGCCATGTGGTGATCCCCCCCCAGCCCCCTTTTCCCGGCCGAGGGTCGGACAGATTGCGGGGGCTGGAGCCCTCCCGAGCCGGCGAGCAGCGGCTCCGCTCCCGCCCAACGCGGAGCAGGTACTGACATCAAGGAGCAGCTGACTCCGCCAGCCACGTCGTCTGAGAGCATCCCCCCCTCGCCGTGGGGTGGGAGGGAGCGGCGGGGCTGGGGAGCTGCCCTCCTCCCTGCGCAGTGCCCGGCGGGGCTGCAGCCGGAGCCCCTTCCCGCACAGCCCACCCCGAGGGGGCGGCAGGATCTGCTCCCTCCCGACTGCCGGCCAGCCTGCTCTTGCTATCGTCACTGGGAGACAAACAGCGGATTTTGCCTTTTAAGTAGCTCTGCTCTCCTGCTCTCGGTGTGTATCTTTCTCTCTTGCAGAGATACAGGCAGTTTTCATCCCTGAGTCATGGACACATTCCCACTAGTGGGGTAGGAGGATGTCAAGCACCAAATTGCCCACTGAAAACTCTGTTGTTTTGACCCTCTCACCCATGTAACTATTTTCAACCTGAGACACTTGTAATTAGTTCTCTGCTGTTCCACTTCTTGCCACAGGTAATTCGTTTCCTAGCTCCAGAAATGAGCTCTATTGCTAGCTCAGATTTTGTGTTCGTTTTTTTTGGCCTTAAATACTAAGCAGGAACTCCTTTGGGTTTTGAGAATTGCTTTGCTCTTTTTCTGTGCCTTGCCAGAGCAGTAGCCTGCTCTTTTCTGATGATTTTGTTGTCCTTCCTGCCTACTGTTTATACATGAGTTGGGTTCCTCCATTATGGTTTGATTAAATCACATGTTACCAGGGTAAAAGGATCATCCTGTACCTTTGAGCATTTCCTGAAATAAAAAGCACAGTATTATGTCAAAAGCCTGCAAGAAAACCAGCAGCAACAGCCAGCTTTTTCCTCTGTGGTTGAGTGCAGTGCAGGGGATTGGGTTTGTTTTATAAAAACTAGGTCTGTCTGGAAGTTTAAAGGCTGGCATCAGCTGCAGGCACCATTATTTGGAGCTCCATAAGGCTGTATCAGTCAGGACTAGAAGTTCTCTGTACCAATATAAAAGAAGCCTAGCACACTCATACCACAAACAATCCCAGCATGGGCTGTAAACCAGATTTGACAGCAGCATTTTTAGTATGGACCTTTCATTGTATCAGCCAAAGGAATTAATCATCGTTAGGTTGTCCTCTAGTGGACCAGCAGTAGACAGAAATGTGGAGATGCTTCACCAAGGCATTGTAGTTCTTAAGAACTGGAGATAGGCTGGGGCCAATTTGTCAAGCTATGAGGTTTTTGCTGAGTCTCTGGAGTTGCCTCAGTCAGTCATTTGCCCAAGAAGTTTTTCCCTGGCAGGTATCTGTGATATAGATGACAGTTTTGAACCTGTACTGTTGTTGAAAAAGTGATGCTTCTCAGTCACATAATATTTTTTAAAAGACCCTTTTTTTCTCATGTCTTGGGCAAATCCTAGTGCTCATCTCTATGGGGTTACTGCTGCAAAACAAGCTATGGTTAGTGTGCAGAGAGGATGAGCTGAGGCAGGAGAGCTATTGTGAGCAGGTTGATGTCCTCTGCAGTGAGTGCCTTTGTGTAATTTCATTTAATCCAGTATTGAACTATAGAGTATGAGTGTTTGCGTGGGAGACTGGTGGGTAGTTGCTATTCCAAACATTTTCCCTGCATAGACAAGCTCCTACTCACTTTCCCTGGAGAGGAACTAGCTATCTTGCAGCTTTCAAGAAGCTGACTTTTAAATTTAGCAGTTTCCAAAGGACAGTGTTATTTTTAATTTGCCATCTCAAATGTTGCTGTTCACTTAGAAACTGCCTTGCATTTGAGGAAACTGTAATTCCTTCTTCCCAGCTGTAGGGGCATGATAAATGACATCTGCTCCACCCCTGATGCACACATGTCACAGCTGCAGTGACAAAGCTGTGCTCAGCACTTGAGTGACTTCCCCAGCATGGCTGTGTGACTGTTTTATTACTGGGCTTTTACAGCAGACTGAGGAGGTTTGGTTCTCCCTTTTTGTTATGTCAGTATATGGAATATCAATCTATGGAAGTTCTTGCCCCAACAAGGGGCTGGTCTCTATAATTCCAGCCCCACCAAGCTGAAGGGATAGAGGGAAAGGAGAGGAATGTTAACTGCAGCAATTGGTGATGCTCAGCCTGTCTGTGCACAGAGTTCATTGTTGCCAGGAGGAGCAGGCATGGCAGTCAGGTCATTATCTCACTGAAGACTTGAAGACAGCAGGTGTCTGAAGGACTTGTTCTGTGAGTGCTCATGGACTGGAAACTGCAGCAGGGAAGAACTCTCAAGGGGCCTTGGGATATAGCTGAGGAGTTGTACTAACCACTCCATGTAATTAAAAGGAAGACTGAGGCATTAAGCCCTTGGAAACACATCTTAAAAGATTTATAGTAATTAACATTTATGTAGAGAACTGCCATCTCGACAGCCTAATGATGCAGATAAAGGTGTGGAAATGGAGTTGAGCCCTTGAACAGAAAAGAAAAAAAAAATTACTTCCTACAAACTTGGTATCACCACTATCCTTAGACCATCCTCTCTGCAACACCACTGCTATGAAGAGAGATAGTTATCTCCCAGAGCTGCTGCTAGGCAAATTCCATGACTGGGGAATGAATCTGGTTGGTCTAACAGTGGTTTAACCCTGAAAGACTCTTGCATTTCAGTAATGAGTTATATTTCCTGCATCTATCCCAGCTGGAGATCCTATCTTACGCAACAGAAGTAGAACCACAGCATCCCGTGGGGCAGAAGGCAGTGCCAGCTTCTGTTACTGTGCTACTGAAACCCTCTCCCCAGCTCATTTCACCAAATAATTTCTCATTAAATGGAGACTTTCTCATTTGCTAAATATTTATGTAATGCCTAGCTACTGCTCTGATTTGCACTCTAGAGAGAGGAGACTTCACTAAAAGCCAAGTTGCTAATCCTCCCCTCTTAACTCATTGGTCTCCTTATTCACAACTCTTGGCTTACAGAACAGGCCTCTACATTTTTATTACTTAGTTCTTTGTATTGATCAAATAGCCTAATGGGTGAAGTTTCGTCCTTGCAGTGGCCTTAGGGGTGGGGATGATTTAATTCAGGATGTGTCAGACATGGTGCATCAACCCTCCTTACTGGCCAAGTACTTGAATCTTGCTGTCTCTGTCTCACTCCTTTTCAGGCAAGACTGGTAAAGCAGTTTCCAGTTCATCTATTTTTGCCTCCCTTGATTATGGAAAGTGAGTCTTTACTATAACTTCTCATCTACAGGAAAGGAAAGTGTCATGTGGCAAAGTTAAATAATTTCCCTAAGGCCATGTGCTGAGCTTGAGGTCAAAAATTGACAGTAATTCTCCCTGCACCAGCACTGGCTTAGGCAGCATCTTATTTGTCTTTTTGCAATGATTATCCCAGCACAACTGTTTGCATCCCCACAGAGGAATGTGTGCTGAATGTAATTATTTGATTAAAGCAAACTAAACCCCAGAAAACCCAAAGGTTTGAAGGAGCAGCTTTGTCAAGGCAATTTGGTGACTCGGGTTGCTGTCATCAATCTAGATGTGTGCTGCATAGATGGTCTGGCTGTTGGGAAACAAGTTGCTGTTGTGTCTTGATGCTTGATTCCTTTCTGACCAGTACTTTCTGGTACCATGTGATCTGGTACTGCCCTGAGCTGGTGAACATGAAGCTGAGACTCAGCTGTGAGCAAAGCCCTGATTTCCCAGCCCCCAGACTCTGCTTTCTCTTGTGCCTGTGTCTCTCTAATGAACAGAACAGAGTGAATTTCCTTCCTCACCTGCTCCATAAACTCACATGTGGCTTTATAGGAATACTTAGCTAAACCATCATCTGCACCCTCTTGTTATCCATACTGGGTTTCTAATTAATTAGCACAAAGTGGGCATTTATCTGAACCCAGATGACCACCTCCTCTCTCCCACAAGCTTCCTGACCTAAAAATGATATGTCCAAGCTGCCTGGTCAGTCCTGGCTCATTCTAGTCCCACGCTCCTAATTTGAGGTTTAAGTCTTCAGCCTCTGACCATCCCAGTTACTTGCAGTGAGCCAAAGGCCAAGGCAGCAGCCTCCTGTGGTTTTATCTTGATTGCTAAAGGTTAGAGAATCCCAGAGACAAAAACACAGCCAAAAATAAGAAGGGGCCAAGCAGGGCTTGTCCTGTGACAGGGAATCTGAGAGGCTGGTGGGCTCCATGGCTGTCCACAGCCATGTACTGAGGTCAGGGATGTGGATCTGTGCTCAGTGAAACGGGCAGATCCCATCAGCAGAGAGAAGCTGCTGGCAGCTCTCAACATCCAACAGAAACAGCCAGAAGCCCCCAGGGAAGCAAATCCTGCTGCAGGCTATGGTGTTAGTCACTGTGCTTCCCATCTACAAGAACAGGCATTAGTGCAAGAAGGAGGAAGCTGTAACCTGAATTCCTCCTGAGTCTGAACTGGGGAAAGCAGCTTTGGCTCAGTTTTGTAGCTTGTGGGTAACTGCACAGGGCTCAGGAGGAGGCAGAGCAGGAAGATTGATGCACAGGGGTTGGCAACCAAGAATAGATGTCTGCCCAACCTGAAATGAGGGCTCTGACAGCCTTTTCAATGAGAATAATAGTGTTGAACTTGGAAATGGAAATTACAGATCTGAGACAGAGCAAAACTAAAAATCCTCAGAGGTTCAAGTCAGGGAGATGAGATAAACTCTAGTCAATGCTTGAAAAGAGCTGTCACTTGAAATTGCAAATCCAAGCACAAGGATTTATGACAGCTAATAGAGAGGTGATCTTTCATAACCAAAGACTGCAATCCTGCTGCCTGAATCTGAGCAAGGGCAGGAGGGGGCAAAACAGTAATAGCTGATTTTTGAGCTGCAGTACATTGA